AAAATCTTAAAAAAAAAAAAAAACAAAAACCTTCCACAAAGAACAGATATTGAATTACATCATGGATGAAATTTTTTAAAAATTTACAAAAAAAAGAAAAAACATTCCAAGCAACTTCCCTTTATTTCCACAAAAAAATACACATGTCCTAAAATGCCTGACTGCCTACACACACACACGACTTCAGATGATCAGAAATAACAGAAGTTGACCTATTACAATCATGGTTGCTACAAATAAAAAATGACAGCTCCTTACAGTTACTAGTAGAGTAAATATTTAAATACAGTTATTCTAATTATTATATTTAAATATTTATATACATTAAAATAACTTCCTCTTTATCCTAAAGGAAATTTTTAAAAATGTAGCTATAATAGGTTCTCTGAAAAAATGAACAGAGCAGTCACAGAGGAGCTACTTGCTACACTAAATTTAAAGAAAAAAAAAGGATGTAAATTATTAATATGGTTAGTGATAACAAAGAAGCCTTCCCAGGTTCTACCACAGGAAACCTATATTCCTGTTTCCACAGTTTTATTCCATGGTTACAACCTAAGTAGGCATCTGGGATTTATTTATTCACATGATTTCTCTACCCCATTTTAGTGGTAAAATGTCTTGTAACACATGTGTGTGTGTGTGTGTGTGTAATCTTGGCGGAGGGAGACATCACCAGAGATTCCTTAGTTTTTTTTTTGTTTTTTTTTTGAAGACTTTATTTATTTATTTGAGAGAGAGAATGAGACAGAGAGAGAGAGCATGAGAGGGGGGAGGATCAGAGGGAGAAGCAGACTCCCTGCTCAGCAGGGAGTCCGATGCGGGACTCGATCCCGGGACTCCAGGATCATGACCTGAGCCAAAGGCAGTTGCTTAACCAACTGAGCCACCCAGGGGCCCCAAGATTCCTTAGTTTTAACCTCTTGGGTAGTTGCTTCCCTGCTTTGGTTTCTCAGGTAAGCCCATTAACCAATACATGAACCTGCATGTTCTCTTATTTGGCAGAATTACTGAAGCAATTAAGACATCAGCAGAGGGGTAAGAAAAATCTCAAAACTGAGAAATCTCAGGTTATTGGAATGCTTAGGGAGAATTCTGACGCACTTAATTTAAGATTTAGAGACATTCAATCTTAAAAATTAACTTGTGAAATTTACTAACCTTTTGTATGTTTATAATGTCTTGGGTGTTCCTTATTTTGTATTTTGAAAACACTAGGTGAAATGTCATGGAACCTATCATCTTCAAAATCACCACATCCAAACCCACAGTTCATACGTTGACCAATTATGCTTACATTGGATGTTGTAATCCCTGTAAAATAAAATACATAAAAATATTTATTTGAATGATTCAGGTAATATTATAGATAGGTACATATCTCCCCCTCTCAATCTATCTTGCTTTCTAGACTTTTAAAAAGGTCAGTGACATAATATTAGAAATTATAACATTATAGTAATTCAAAGTTTTATCATATTTTAAATTTTGTTATACTTTTTACTAGCAGTTAAGAACATTTATTATAAACTATATCTGAAACATTTTATAAAACAGGCTTTAAAATTACAATGAAATACAAAATTCAATGTTTGGAAGAGATAACCAAGTATATATATATATACATATTTAAAATATGACAGGCATTTAATGTTTAAATGACATATAAACCTTTATAGCAGAAAGAAAAATTTTTAAATCTAGAATTTTTAAACTGTATCCTGAGAGATATTTTCCATTTCTCTCTTCTCTCCCACTCTTGTGTAATGGATCTATACTGGTCTGGCTGGTGAAGCAGTACACCCCACAGTGACTAAGCTCAGAATCTGGAATCATGCTTCCTGGCTATAAATCATAGCATTGCCACTTAAGCCCCTGACAGAACCTGGGCAAGACAATCTTATTTGTAAAATGGAGGATAACAGAATTACCCCTTCCAGAATGGTTGTGAGGATTAAGAAAATACATGTAAAGGGCCTAGCATAGTGCCTAACATACTGTAAATACCCAAATGTTATATTCCTAACTAAAAATAAAAGAAATCAGGGAACCTGGGTGGCTTAGTCAGTTAAGCATCCAACTCTTAATTTCGTCTCAGATCATGATCTCAGGGTTGTGAGATCAAGCCTCGGGTCAGGTTCCGCATTCAGTGGAGTGTTTGAGATTCTTTCTTTCCCTCCCCACCTGCCCCCCACCGATAAATAAATAAATCTTTAAAAAAAATCAAAACCCTAATGTGGCCCTCCTTTTAACAAATATCAAAAATTTTAATCTACATTTGAATGTTTCAACTGACCACCCTATACCAATACTTTGAAGCTATTAAAACCACAAAATATCTACTAAATGGAAAATCCTACACAATATATATTTAAGTCACCATCCACTTTCATATATATAGCTCCTTACAAATACCATTAAATAGTAATAACAAAATACAATTTGTTCTTAATATGACTGTGGGTTTTTTAATAAAAACAGGATTGTGAGAAGGGATGGCTAGTGGCAACTTGTCAACAGAGGACTGTAGAATAAAAGGCACTAAGTCAGTTCATAGAGAGTCAAAAAATATCTGGTGTTAATAGAGAACTTCTGGGAGTAACATGGATATCTGTCTACACTCTTCTTAGTTTTGATAGATAATTCATAAAGGTATCCTCATAAAGATACTGGCTTTGGGTGTAAATGCTTTCTGTTAATAACAGGTATTACTAATCTGATGCTACAGGAAACAAGTTTGCTATAACATAATTCAGGAAATTTACCTATGTAAATTATCTAGAGCACATTTACCTATGTGCTATAATAGGTAGTGGTGGATTACATGTGGAAATATTTATTGGACATTAGAACACAAAGACAAGTTGGATTTATAGTTTCTACATAATTATTTTTGGTTTTGTTTTCAGATAATCTTTACTCGGAGCATTATTCATTTTTACACTTTATCAGTTAAATGATAAACTTGTAGGAATCATTTGCTTACTAAAAACAAAACCTTATCCCACAAAAACAAAAAATGTAAACCCAAGTTTGTAAGATCCTAAACCATTAGCAACCTTACAGTTTGAGGGCATATTAAATTTAACCAAGAATATCTCACAATGAATTCAACAGTAGAGTTTCCAAAACTTGATCTTAGAAATGTGTATTTGTTAAAAATACAGATTTTTAACTCTGACGATCAATTCATTATTTGTGAGGTGAGGTCCCAGAATCTGTGTTACAAGCATCCCTGGTGATCCCTAGGACTAGGCAAATTTAAGAAACACTAAATATTAGACAAGTTTGGCAAACACTGAATACTGTATAATGAAGTATGTACTGTTTTAAGAACTTTTTCACTTTACTAAAACTTAAGTGACTTATGAGGTCAGGGGGAAACTCAAATCTAGGTTTTCTAAATCTATTCTTTTCTAACTCCAAACATATTCTTCCAGAAGAGGGCTCCACTTTTGTAAATAAGACACAGGCTACCAATAACTTCTATAAATAAAGTTATGAATAATTTACTATAATAATCAGCCTTAAAAAGAGATTAAAGAATAAGTTTATGTGTTATGTTTCTTTGTGTCTTTTCCTTTAAAGGAACAAAAGCCAAGTGTCCCCTGTGCATTAGGTGCTTATACTTAACTGTTCATTACCCCTTCTCAAGGTTTACATTACCAGATGAGGGAACTGAGTTTCAAAGCAGTTAAATCACTTGCCCAGCTCATGAATATGGTCAAATCGGGATTCCAGCTGGGGTCTTTCAGACTCCAAAGCACATATACATTGTCTTCCTGTGCCTAATAGATTAACTAACTCTTTGTGGAACACTAGCTTTGTGGAAGCCAATGTACCAGGCATGCATGGTTGAATTAGGCATTTGTGATAACGAAGGCACTAGGTAGATAATCAGGATCTGAGAATCTGAGAGTCCAGAGAAGTAAAATAATGGTAATACCACTATAAAGGTATCAGTGCAAAATATAATGATACCATGAAGGTAATAATCAATTTTGTTTGTGAATGGGGAAGGTTTTCAGAAAAAGCAACTGCACTGTTTTTACAGCTGAATGGGGTGTGGTGTAGATTCCAGATTTCACCCAGAAAAAATGGTACATGCAACTGCAAAAAGAGAAGAAGTGGTATTGAAAGTGGTCTGATTTAACTGGAACACAAAATTACAAAGAAGGAAGTGAAATATGAGGCGGGAGAGGTAGACAGGGACAGATCATAGAAGAATGCCCTAAATAAATTTAGGCTGGGCAATACAGTCAGACTTGCACTGTGGGGAACAAGAATGAGACTGAAGCTGGAGAGAAATCTTAGGAGGCTAAGTGGATAAGAAATGAGTAAAAGTGATAGTGGAGACTAAAAAGAGGAGATGAAATTAAGACATATTTAGGAATAAGAAATTTAAAAGTCTTAGTAGACAAATACATACATACATAGTTTTTAGAGAGGAAATTATAATGTAAGGTAGAGTACCCTTAAAGTTGTTAGGACTTTTATACTGAGATCTTGTGAAAATAAATGCCAATTTGTTATAATTCACTCATAATCTAATATACTGTTACCAATCATAAAGAAGAATCACATGCAGTTTCCATCCTTAAATAGATCAGAATCCAAATATTTCTCCAAAAGATTACTAATAACTAAATCTATTTTCTGAAAAGTGATGCTATACGTTAGAGACTTCCAGGTTAGTTCACAAAATTCTTAACAAGATACAAATGAACTTAAATACTAGCTAAGTGTTGTTTTTAAACCAAATTGTCTTTTGTGATACTTCAGTGGCTTCCAAACTGTGCTGCATATTAGAATCAACCTGAGGGCTTTCAAACCTCTGGTGGCCAGGTCACATTTCATATCAATTAAACCAAAATGTCCGGATGGAAGAGCCAGGCATAGGTACACCTATGGGCTTAAAGGGGGATCAATTATTTAGGTAAATAATTTTTCTTCCAAGAATAATACAATATTTATTCTTGCCAAAAAAAGGCCTTTTAAGGAGCTAAAAAGATGATTAGTCTTAATTGGTAACTACAAAAATTCTATATCTGAAATGCATTTTTTTACCATTTTTGGTATCATTTAAAAATCATACTTTCTATAAATCATATTTATAAAACAGTTATAAAATACCTGCACTGGGGCTTTGGTCAGCTATCTCAGAGATTTTATTCTTTGCAGAAGAAAGTCTCGTTGGACAAGATTTTGATCCAAATGTTGGAAATATGTCTGACCTACAATGAAACAAAGTAATTCCAATAAACATTTAAGATCTAAAGCTGTTCAACATTCTTAGATAGTAAGGCAGGAGCAAGTATGAAAACTATAGCTAAGAATATTTTTTTATTGGTATTCCTAGTTCACTTTTAGAACTTCCAACCATTTAACATATAGGTAATTCTTAAATTTTTCATGAGAGGATTACAAAAGGCAGGGAAGATTCTCTAACTCATACTATATAACCTTTTGTTGGGTCAAAAAAAACCAAAAAAACAAAACTGATCCAAAGAAAGTTGGTTCATTCCAAAACTAAAGCAAATGACTCCTAATAATCTAATATACTATCTGTCCTCACAGATAATAACACAAAAAAAGAGACTTAACTACATTACAAATTAGAGATAAGCAACAGATGGATTTATTAGCAAATGTCATTTTCTTCCTGGATTATATTTTGTTATACTTTTCTGACATTATAAAGACCTACAGGCTTTGTTTCACAAAGAAAGTGACTGAAGATCGTTGAATCTGAATGTAAAGGAACTGTTTTAAATCATTTAAGTGTTGTAATATCAGTAAGCCAGTGATGAATATTATAAAGAGATTTTACAAAGGAGCATAGTTCTTAGTAGTTGGGTAAGCATATTTGTTAATTGGCCTAGTGAGAAGTCAATGTTAAACATTATTTTTTTTAAGGTTTTATTTATTTATTTGACAGAGAGAGACACAGTGAGAGAGGGAACACAAGCAGAGGGGGTGAGAGAGGGAGAAGCAGGCTCCCTGCTGAGCAAGGAGCCCAATGTGAGGCTAGATCCCAGGACCCTGGGATCACGACCCAAGCGGAAGACAGACGCCCAATGACTGAGCCACCCAGGCACCCCAATGTTAAACATTTTTAAAGAGTAATTTCTCTAGAATAGATATAGGTTTTTTAGTCAATTTACATTTATACCATGTACCTGACTTGAATGGAAGAAAATACTTTAGTCTCTACAAGAGTGGTTCTCAAGAGTTTTTCCTCCCCAACCCACTTAAAGATGAAAGCCCCACATGATGTAATAGTGGCTCTCTTTGCCATGATTCTTAAGGCAAGATGCAAGCTGGTTAAGAATAACTGTTTTAAAGCTATTAAACTTAATGTGGAAATATGAAATTCATTAAAGGCAATTTAGTCCAGAAATGAGGGTATATTGAACTCCTTCTCACAGAGTTCAAAATCTGAAGAGAGTAATTCCATGAGACAATATAGAGAATAGTGAATTCTAAATGTTATAGTATAAAATGAACTTTTCTTCCCAACTAGGTTCTCAATTATTTACAAGACCTTGCAACTGCAGGAGTATTTAACATAAAATTTCACATTCATAGAAGATAAGGGAAGGACTTTAGGTCTGAAAGATAAATATGTATTTTAAATGTCTGGTAACTAAATATAAACAGTTACTTCACCAGCCCATGTAGCCATTCCAAATTCATTTTGTAAATATATTGCATTATTCTCCCTGGGTAATTACAACAAAGGAATTTCCAGTAAGAAAAAATTTCCAACTGCATATTAAGCTGCTATTTAAGTTAAAAATGTAGAGAATGGAATCACGGGATAAGACAAACGTCTCATAGCAGGACACAAAAATTTGGTTTAATTCTATGAACTGCTGAAATGAAACACCCTGCTGAAATGAAACACCATCTGTCCTTTTATTATGCATTCTCTACCTACACTGTTAAAGATTCCAGTTCACTTAAGTGAAAATAATTTAAATTTAATTTTAAATATTTACAGCTAGTAGCTGTGGATAACCATGGTTCAGGATAAAATCAAAGGAAAATAAAGTTAAAAAGACTGACAACAACAAATATAAACACGGATGTGAAACAACTGGAACTCTCATGCTTTGCTAGTGGAGTAGAAAATTGTACAAATATCTTGGAAAACTGTTCAGCAGTTATTTAAAAAGCTAAATGTATATCTATCCTATGACCCAGCAATTCTACTCAGGTTTTTGTCTAAAATAAAGAGGGAAGAGATTCCCCAAAATCCTAGAATAGAGTCACAGAAATTCTCAGAAATCAAGGTAGGATCACTGTTTAAGACTTAGAGGTCACTGAGGTAACCTGGAAAAGTTTGTTGAATTGCTATACTAGAAAAAAATGCTCTAGGGTGGCCATGACTCTAATTCCAGAACTGCTATAAGGGAGACTCCTGAGAAGGCTGCAAAAGCTATGGCATGGAGGCCTAAACTTCTACATAAAAATGGAACAACAAAATATAAGAAATGGCGAGGTTAATAGCTGAGTGGAGTTTATCTACAAATTAGAGGAAATTGATGCTGAGTTTTCAATAAAAGCAGTAATATCAGCTATAGGTCCACTGCAAAAGACTCAATGATCTAGAAGAGAGCTAAAGAACAAAGAATATTAGGATAAATATTAGGCAAAACAACAAGTAGGGCTTGGGGAGTAAGGGTTTATATTACTGTAGGTGCTCTAAGTTACAGCTGATGTGTTCTCTCTCTCTCCACCCATCCCAAACCAAAGCCAAGCTAGATAATACCTGTAAACTTTTCCACTGTCTTTTAAATGTACTTCAACATTTTAAGAACTAGAAAATAGTTTAAAAGTTTTTTTCAAATACGATATTAGGGATGAGACTACAAATTAAAGATTAGCATTCATTTAACATGTCAAGAAATAAAATACATTATTCTCTTCCCCTGGGGAGTTGTAGACAGAGAAGAAGTCAATGATTCTTGGCTATAAACTCCACTTTCACTATAAGAGCTGATGTTTGGAGAGGAAGATCGAGATGGTGAGTCCATAGTCAAGTCGAGCTTAATTGCAGAATCAGGGCTTTCAAGATCAGAAGTACTGCCACTCAGTTTTGCTCTTTTCTTAGCTGCACTATTACGAAGGGACCTAAGAGAGCTCTGCATCTAAGGAAAAAAAAAACAGAACAATTAACTTTGCAAGACATTTATCTGAGTAGAAGTTATCCTAAGATTTTAAATTCCATTTACCATACCTAGCAAGCCACTCTCCATTCTGGTACTAACAAGATGGATATTAACATATTTATACATAGTAAAAATACATATTTTAAAAACAACCAATATAAACAACTTTGTAAGCCCCTTAAGAGGGAGGATCTCAAGCTATTATTCACCATGGTATTTCCAGCACTAAGAACAATGACTAATATAATAAAATTTAATTAGTAAATAAATCATTGAATCAGATGGTAGACATCTGAGTTGAAGTCAGAGAGGTCTAGCCAATCTTTGGTCATTGGTGTGTGGATGTGGCCATTTAGAAATTCTGTGAAAAGTAATCAGTTTTCTAAAATTTGAAGTTTACATCAAGTTTGCCAGTGTTAGGGGTCAGAGAATAACAGATGACTGTATGTGACTTCTGAAGCCAAGTGTTTCTAGAAATGTAGAGTAGAAGATGCTATTACAAACAAATATATTAAAGTTGGGAATAGAACCCTGAATGAATTAAGGAACCCAGAAACATACATAAATTGTGTTTCACTTACATTTTGATTATAACAATTATAATGGTTGATTCAACAGTATGGCCACTTCCCTAATAAATCCTTAGAAGGCTGAATATTTAAAAATAGTACTATCCTCCTATATTTATCAATAATTTTATAAAATTGAAATTTTTACAAAATTCTATAAATTTTATAAACTTTATAAAATTAAAAAGTTTATAAAATTGAAATTACCCTTTCAATTATTCATTAAAAGAAAAAGGGCTATTTTTAAGGTATCATACAAATAATGCAAAAATATGTAGCATCAGATGAAATTTATGAGTTACGTAGGAAAATGCCTCTTCTAGAACTTTCTTCCCTTTAAATGAATTCTCTTCCTAGTGCCAGTGAAATACAACTGGGGTGGGGGGGAGGAAAGATTTTACAAGCAGTCAGAAGTTGGAATGACTGACTAGTTCATTAAGAACCAATTTTGGTACACATGCTTAATGCTAAAAAAAAATGCCCTTAAAATGAATATGCATTAATATTAACTTTATTTTATTGAGTAAAATCAGTATATGATGCTTACATCTTAAAAACAGGCAAAAATAAGACCACAAAATATAATTGAGTGTTTCAGTTTACACATTTTATGTAAAACACTTTTTAAACCTGACATCAGGCAGACTAATATGATGAAAAGAAAGCATCTATGGAAATAGTGCTCCGAATCCAAAGTAATATAGCAACCACATTCCTTCTCTGACATAATTAGCATGTACAGAGTTGTCATATTGGCAATGGATTTTTATAGTATAAATGGAGTGACTGAGAATTCAAAGAGTATATAATATGACCTCAGTTTCATAAAGATAAATAAACTTGTACATATGCACAATAGACACCCAAGAATGTTCAATGCACCACTGTTTTCAATAGCAAAAGACAAGGAATAAGCCAAAATCAATTATGATAATATCATAAATATCAAAATATTAATATATTAAAAGTACAAAAATACATAAAACACAAATTAATGGTGATAGTGGTTGCTTCTGGTGAAGGAGGGAAAGGAACTGGATTGGGTAGGAACTATGTTATGTTTCATTTATTTAAAAATAGGAAACAAATATGCAAATTGTTCACTTGGGAGGGATTAGTGTATGGGTATATTGCTATATTACTCATACTTTTAACTTAAAAAGGAATAATATATGCATAGAAGAAATACTGAAAGAAAACACAGTAGAGTGTTAATGGCAAATTATTCTGGGTAGTGGGATTTGGTGTGATGAATTTTCTTCCAATACTTCACTATAGTTTCTACATTTTCTATAAGGATCATGAAATATTTTTTTTTTTT